CTCCGACTCGCTTGGGTCATTGAGCAACCATCTTCAAGCTTAATGGAAAAGCATCCGCTTTTTCAGTGGGTGATCCGGAAATTCAAGGTGTACAAGGCCGGCCTGTGATCCTTGCAAGGTTTACACTGGACCTTGTGTCGTCCAGGCTTTTACTTGGCTTGGAGCCTTCGGGGGCGGTAGATGCTTGCTCGCAAATAGGTTTTTGAACAAGTGTGACAACATATGCTTCTAAGGAGTAGTTGTTTGAGGAAGTTGCGCACTTTGAGGCCCAAAGCCGACGTATCTATATTCAAACTATGAATTCATCAGCCAGCTTTACATGAACCTCCCGGACAGGAAAGAATGGCCTGCTGAGATGTCGGTAAAGTGCTCTTGTCTGAAAACACAAGGGATTGCCTTTTGGGTGAGCCACATTCTTGTCAAAACGTATTGTGTCTTAGCTACGGCCGTGCTCCAAGGTATGTAGACTCGTCGGGCGTTCGACGGGTCCAAGGAGGCAATGGTCTCAAGGCCAGCCAGCACTACCCATCCCGATTTGCCCGTGCGCTACTTGAAGTGTTTCAACATCACCACTCCCAGATCAAACAGGCAGTGCGGGAACGGACGAGCCTTAAACTGCATTGGGGCCCTTTGCCAACCCAGTCAGCGCTAAGCCGCAAAGCCAATTCTTTTAAGGTTAAGGGACTACCGTTAACAACAACAGATTTCTGCGTAGCCTTTGCACAAGCTCCGAAGGCTGTGCACAAGTCCAATACTCATGCGCACGCTTGTGACAATCGATCACGCTCACCCCACTAGTGCGTCGCGGGCTTTACATTTCAATCCGGCCACGGATGGCAATGTCAACGGCTCTGAGGAAAAAGCTGCAGGATGATGGCCCCGACAAGGAGCTGAAGGAGCGTGGAGCTTCCCGGATATCGATTTCTTGGATTCTCGGATTTCTCGGATGTCTCGGATTTCTCGGATTCTCGGATTCTTGGATTTCTCGGATTCTTGGATCCTCGGATTCTCGGATTCTCGGATTCTTGGATCCTCGGATTCATTCTCGGATTTCTCGGATTCTCGGATTCCTGGACCCTTCTCGGATTCATTCTGGATTTCTCGCATTCTTGGACTGGCCATTTTCTTGGGTTCTTGGATTCTCGGACTCATGATTTCTCGGAATAGGTTAACCTTTTTTGCTTGACGCAAACACATGTTTTTGGGTTTAGCTCCTTTCCAAACAAGACTGGCGAGAACCCAAGTATTTTTCTTGTGGCGGCAGGACCCTGGCTTCACCCACATGTGTGGCCTCCGGCAAGTTGTGCTGGATCTGACGGCCACGTGATGGGCCGCGCACCTGCAAAAGCCAGAAATTCACATGTGTGGCATGCACTGACATGGGGTCGAGGGGACCTTCTGAAAGGGAGTGGTCAAGGAGGCCCTTGAAAGCCGGGGATTGGTCCATGGGGCATTTTCAAAAAACGAGAAAAACGAGAAAAACGAGAAAAAACCCGAGAATACCCGGGAAATTTCTTGGTTTTTAGAGCGCCCCCAAAGCAATCGTTTTTGTGGCTGAATCGTGCACGAGGGTAACCGGATTTCGCGCTTGCTTCCCACCCAGAAGGCCCCAGAAACCGTTTGATCGAATCGGGCTGCTCCGAGCAGCTCGTGGCTAATTCAAAGTGCACATTAACACATTGTGGTCTGCGTTGGAAAAGGGATTTGAGTTTGAGATCACAACTTGAGCTCTGCATGTGACACAAAAGCAGGTTCCATTGGCAGCAAGTTCCTGACTCGACCCATAGCTCTGCACCCCCCTAGCGAGATGGGCCCGAAAAGGATTAATGGCAAAGGCATTGATCCGCGGAAGCTAAGAAAGGCGTCGGAGAAGATTCAGAAGGAGAAGAAAGAAGCCCGTCAGCAGTCGCAGCCCGTGAAGTCCATCCTGAAGGGCGGCGATGACAGCCAGCAGTCCACTCCTCTGCCCAAGCGCAAGCTCAGCTTTGCAGAGTCGGTGGAGAGCGGCAGCCACCTTGAGGTGACTGACCAGGAAGCTGATGACATTGTCAAGCGCCTGCGGGCTGCCAGCTCGGCCGACCTTGTCAGCTCAGGTGATGAGGGCAACACAGCTGTTGGCAGCAGCAGCAGCAGCAGCGATGATGAAGACGAGGAGGCAGCGAAGAATAAGGAGGCTGTGGAGAAGACGGATGAGCAGAAGAAGGCAAAGGAGGCTGAGGAGAAGAAGGAAAAGGAGGCTGAGGAAAAGAAGAAGAAGAAGGAAGCTGAGGAGAAGAAGGAGGAGGCAGAGAAGCAAACGAAGGAAGAGGCTGACGAGAAGAATGCGGAGACAGAGAAGCAAGCGAAGAAGAAGGCTGAGGAGAAGAAGGGGCAGGTAGAGAAGCAGTCAAAGAAGAAGACGGAGTTGGAGAGGAGCGAGGAGGCGGCGAAGAAGGAGGCTGATGCTGCGAAGAAGGAGGATAAAGAGAAGAAGGCAAAGGAGGCTGAGGAGAAGAATAAGCAGGAGGCTGCGGAAGCGAAAAAGGAGGCCGAGGAGAAGAAGAAGAAGAAGATGAAGAAGGTTGAGGAGAAGAAGAAAAAGGAGGCTGAGGAGAAGAAGAAGGAGGCTGACGAGAAGAAGAAGAAACGGAAGGCTGGAGCGAAGGAGTCGGCGGAGGCTGAGAAGGAGAAGGCAAAGGATGAGGCAGAGGAGGAGGAGCGATCTAAGAAGAACAAGAAGAACAAGAGCAAGAAACGTGAGGAGGCTGATGAGAAGAAGAAAAGGGTTGCGGAAGCGAAGGAGAGAGAGGAGGCTGAGGAGAAGAAGAAGAAGCAGGAGGCGGAGGAGAAGAAGAAGCAGGAGGCGGAGGAGAAGAAGAAGAAGGAGGCTGAGGAAAAGAAGAAGAAGAAGGAGGCTGAGGAAAAGAAGAAGAAGAAGAAGGAGGCTGAGGAAAAGAAGGAGAAGAAGGAGGCTGAGGAAAAGAAGAAGAAGAAGGAGGCTGAGGAAAAGAAGGAGAAGAAGGAGGCTGAGGAAAAGAAGAAGAAGAAGAAGAAGGAGGCTGAGGAAAAGAAGGAGAAGAAGCAGGCTGAGGAAAAGAAGAAGAAGGAGGCTGAGGAAAAGAAGGAGATCAAGGAGGCTGAGGAAAGAGAGAAGGAGAAGGGCAGCAGCAGCAGCAGCGAGGGCGAGGTTGAGAAGTGCGAGAGCGAGGGGCCTACGGCGAGCGAGGCTGGCGATGAGGCAGTCGACAATGCAGGCAGCGAGGAGGGAGAAGAGGAGAAAGGCACTGATGATGAAGAAGTTGAGAGCGACCACGCCAACGACAGTGACAGCGAGCAGGACGGCGAGGGCGATGGGAGCGAAGATGGAAGCAGGCCAGCCTTGACAGTGACTCCATATCACAAATTCTGGAGCCGATTCAGTACTGGCTTCAGACAGCGATGCCGGCCAGACCTGGGAAAAACCAAAGCGAAAACTCCAACACCAAATCAATCAACCCTGTTTGACTTTTGGAAACACACACATCCTGCCAGGCGTGACGCGGCGGGGTCTGGCGACAGCACACAGGACTCGGACAACTGCGGGGGCGGGGAGGAGCCAAAGCGATCTAGCTGCAAGAGAAAGGTGGAGAAGGACGCGGGAAAGAAGAAAAACGATGACAACGCAACTACGGAGAGCGACGGAAGCTCGTCTGGCAAGAAGATCGCTATGCTCTCCGCCGCAGAGAAGGGCATGCTGAAGAAGAACTCCACCAGCCACCGCAAAGAGTGGCAAAGGTTCACCCGCTTCTGCAAGAACAAGAAGAAGTTCCCAACGCTGTTGGCCTCAAAGCTCGCCTCCTCGGAGTCTCGCCAGAAGCTGTTTGAGGAGTGGGTGGACGCTAAGGGGGACCTCAGCGCCATCGAAGCTATTCACCGCCGAGAGAAGGAGGAGACCACGAAGTCCAGCGTGCGCTACGGGTTCCGTGGAGAGAAGTGGTTGGAGGACACTCACGGCAAGGCTAAGGCGGATAAGATCATAGCGCGCAAGAAACAACAGGGGCTCTTCATTCCGGATCCGGAGGACTCAAGCGACAGCTTGTACTTTGTTCTCATCAACTTAGACCTGGAGAACATAGAGGCGCTACGGCAGGTCACGGGCATGGAGATGAAAGGCGAGGTGGACGAGTCTGTGGTCAGGGCGTTCACCGAGCAGGGCGGAGTGCTGGACCCCAAAAAGTTGAAGATTGGCGGTGGCTTCGACTCCCAGCCCGCCCTGAAAGAGATGATGAACCTGTCGAACGCAGTGCAGGGCAAAGCCAAGCCCAAGCCGAAGTCACGCGCTACTGATGGAAAAGACAAGAACCCTGACGCGGGCAACCAGGCCGTCTCGCAAACGGGCCCGTGTAAAATAACAGTTGCGTTTGATTTTGCGGGCTTGTGTCAACAGGGTTTCCCCCGCCAGAAGATGTGTCTGATTTTGCGGGCTTGTGTCAACAGGGTTCCCCTACCAACAAGGGTGCCTGATTTTGCGGGCGTGTCTGATTTTGCGCGTTCCCCTTCCTCAAGGATGGGATTGATATTGCAGGCTGGTGTTACAAGGGTTCGCCTACACCTACAAAACGGTTCTCATTTTGCGGGCTGTTGTTGTCACCAAAAGATGCGTGCTGTGTCAAAAGGCCTGCTCCCAGCCCTCGAAAATTGGTCGTATCGTGTTAAGAGGGCATCCCCCACCAAAGGATGGCTCTAACTTGGCGAAGGCCTCCCCCTTCCTTCAAACGGGTTTGATTTTGCAAGCTAGGGTCAAAAGTCAAAGGTGGTTTGGCTTTGCGGGATTGTCTCAACATGGCTACCCCCACACCCAAGCACCGCTTCTGCGCAGGTCAAAGCAGAGGAGCCTATTGAGAGAGCGGTTTCCTTGGTGAACAAGATTTTGAAAGATGTGAATGCCTTGAGGCTGTCATAGTGTCATGTAGTCTTAAAGTCTGACCCTAGATTGAAAGCTTGTGGCCAGGGACTGCGCCTTCAAATTGCAGCCCCTGGAAATGTCTTCTGATCTTATCAGACAGCTGCGGGCGCTGGAGAAGAAGCTGTCCGCCGAAGCTTCCCAGATTCAGGAGCTGGTGAGATTAAAAAAGAACAAGAACAAGCACTATGCCCCGCACGTGGCCGAGGCCTCCTGTAACTGCTATGTTCTTTAGCGCTTGCTAGCCGCCCGCGCCCCTCACCCCTTGTCCCGCCTCGGGCCAGGTCGAGAAGCTGATGGAGGTATCCAAGCAGCGCCTGGAGTTGGGTAAGGCTTTGATTCGGGCCAGCGACAAGGGTGGCAAGCTGAAGAGCGGCGACAAGCCTGATGGACCTAGCAAGCCAAACGGGAAGAGTTGAACATTCTCTTGATGTTTCATTTTAGGCGGTAGGCTCTGGCTGTTTCAGGCAAAGGGGCTCACCGCTCGTAACAAGTGGTCCAATTTGGAATCAGCGAAACTTAGAAAACCAAAGTTTGGCGACCTCATTGCTTGATCAACCATATTTCCGTGGGGTGTGCGAAACTCCGGGCGGGACTAGGTTTGCTTAGGGGTTCGTTGCAACAAGCAACGCGGCAGTGCAATCCTACGCCCGCACGGGCGCACGATTCTTTGAGAGCCATGAGGAAAAACAAGTGTAATTGCCTTGGAGTGCATCGGCGCTTGATGTGCAGCTACAGTTTCTTCGCAACATGACACTCAACCTTCCTGTTGCAGGGCCCGCAGCAGATCCCGACCCCGGCCTTCTTCGGCGCCGCGACTCCAGCCATCCAGACCACGCAACCGCTCCTCGCCTGATGATGTGGCCTTTACACACACCTATAGCGTGCTCAACTCAAGTTTGCAATGAGCCTCAAACTTGCGGCCATTTTGTTGGGGAAGGGAAAGCTTGAAAACTGATTTTGATTCCGAGCTACAAAGAACAGCTCAGGCCCTTCAGTCGGTGTGCCTGAGCGCTATGAGAGCCACACAGGCAGGGAGCCGCAAACATGCTTCAACTTCTTTGCTACCAGGCTAACATATTTGATTTTGCAGTTATTATTTGTTCGTTCCCAAGTCTTGAGCCTAGCATCCGCTGACCAGGCGTGGACATCGTGAACAACGGACGCCGATCGGCCAAGCGCTGCCTCAAGTGGATCTGCAGCGGGGCAGGGTCGTGGGCCAAAGTGGGGGACATTTTGTTTCTTAAGAGCGTTTCCTAAACCCCAACCAACTCGAACTTTCTGCCCTTTTGGGCGACCCTCTCAGAACCCTCTAAAAAATGCCCAGTTGAAAGTGCAGCCACCATTGGGGGCCCTTTTGCAACCCCTGCTTTATGAAAGGGTACGTCATGTTTCGGGGTGATCTTTTTGAAACCCTTCAAAATGATTGCAGATCCCGTGAAACACTCTTTTGGGCGACCCTTTTCGGGAACCCTCTAGACATGCGTGCTGAGTTTCTTTCTAAACAACCCATCTACTTTCCTGAAATACTGACACTTTCACATTGTGGGTTTTGTGGGTGATGCTTTTGGAACACCACCAGAAATTGGCACTCGTTCTTTAAACTCTGCAGAAAGCATCTGCTGCCGACATGTGCCTTGCAGCACAAGACCTTCTACTTGATGGGGTAGAGTGTCCGCTAGCTGGCTTGCTGGCTTCTTGGGGCGGGGCCGGCCACGAAGAACGTGCGTTCGAAAGGTGGGCTTGGGGAAGTCTTCATTTTTGTTTTCGTAGTTCCGTCAACCCCCCAAAAAAACAATTTCAAGTGTGTTTCTACGATGCCCCTCTTTGATTGGTTCTACCAACGCATTAAGCGAAACGCAACGCCTTCTTTTGTTGCATCCCAACACCAAAGTTGCAAGTGCCGCCGACTGCCCTTTGCAGCGTACAGGTGGTACGAGAGTGTCACTCATCTGCCTGGTTCAACTTGCAAGCTACCTTTGCGCATCAGCGGCCGGGACGACAACACAGTTGTTCGGGAGGAAAGCGTTGCTTGCATCTGGCCATGGGACGCTTTGCACTGGCTTTACCGGGTGGGCCTCCTTGAAGGTTGGATTTCTGATGACCCTGCAGCAGCCTCAAACAACGTGGAGGACACTCTTTGAACATGCGCCGGGTAATCCAAACAAAATCACCTACGTAGCTTTTGCCCGCATTTTTTAACCACCTGGGAAACAAGTTTGTTTACCCGCTGGCCCCTTAGCCTTGTCTTGTCACTGTGCAGGAGTACTGGCACCACCTTCGTTCAGAACCCTGTGCGCGGAAGGTGACTCACCCTGACCGGACCATACCGCTCGTGTGGCATGTGGACGGCGTGCGCATTTTCAAGCAACAGAAAGCTTGGGTGTATTCCTTTTCCTCAGCAACCAGGAAGGGGCCTTCGTTGCAAACAAAGTTTGTCTTCCTTGTGGTGCGTGACAACGTGACCCTAAAGCGCGAGACCCACTACGCTATCGCCAGCCATATTGCTTGGTGCCAGCGCGTTTTGCTTACTGGCAACTTTCCAAGTTCGGACGCAGACGGAAGCGAGTGGCAGGGCAACACCTTGCGAAGTTGCCAAGCCGGTCTTCCTTTTGCTGACGGGTGGTGCTGTCAGTTTGCAGCCTTTAAGGGGGACATGGAGGCCAGGGTTGCCATACACCGATTGTCCCGAAATTGGATGAGCAATTGGATTTGCGAGCATGATTTCGCTGGCAAACATAATCTGCTATTCACAGACTTTTCTGACAACGCAACCTGGTGGGAGACAACGCTGACGCACGAGCAGTTCTGCATGCTCAACGGACCGGGTTACCAATCGCCTTGGTTGCAGGTTGATGGTTGGACAAAGGACAGAAACTTAGACGACCTTCTTCATTGCCTTCACCTTGGGGTGGCAACCTGTGCAGTCCCAGCACTTATAGTTGATTTTGCCGAGGAACAAAACCCTGACATGGTTCTTGCGCAGCTTGACCTTTTCTTGCAACGCGACGCATACCCGCATTACCGTGCATGGTGCCGACAGCGTGGGTTTTCAGGATCATGTGTGCGGTTCACCACCCGAACATTTGGCAGGGAGTCTTGGAATAGTTTTCCTGAATTGTCATCAGCCTACAAGGGTCACATGGTCAAAATGATGATTTACTGGCTTGCCTTTTTCTTGTCCGAGCGACCTGCTGAGACCGAGACCGCGAAAGACAGACTGCATTGCGCATACAGCCTAGCGCGTTTTCAGTACCTTTTGGACACCAATGGGCCGTGGCTCGAACAACATGTGGCCACTGAAACTTGCCGAGCTGGCCGATTGTTCCTGTTGTATTACCAGCGCTTGGCAGCTCCACACCACAACCCCGACCAGCACAAAAAGTGCTACAAACTGACTCCGAAGTTCCATTACTTCTTGCATATGTGCGTGAACACGGCGCGAACACTGCGCAACGGCCGCTACGAACATTGTTACGCAGACGAGGATCTAATGGGCCATTTGGCCAGGATAGCGTCAAGAACGCACGCGGCTACGCTTGACAAAGTGACGCTGAACCGGTACAGGGCGCTGCTTGAACTTACTGATGTTTTGCTTGATCGGTCTGCGGGGTAATCCCGACAGACGCGTGCAGCGGAGCCTCCGCCTGGAGAAAAAGGACCTTGTGGCGCATTTTTTAAGTTGGGTTTTTTGGTGCTTTACGGAAACCATTAAGGAAAACAAGCCTATATATTTGCCGGGTCCCCTACTTTGAGAAACATCCAAGTCACGTTTCCTGGGTTTGTTGATCAAGCCACCAGACTTATGTTGCAAGTGCTCGCTTATCCCTGAGTTCAACTCAAAATTGTTTCCAATTAGTTTGCCCCGCCCCCCTCCCCCATCTCAAGTTTAGGGGTGCATGTGTGCAACTTGGTACAGAGGGTCAGCCTCTGTGTGTTTCATAGCATTTGAAGTGGAAGAAAACGGTTTCTGCAATACTCCGACCCCGAGATCTGCTTTTTTAGACCATATGCATGGTAGCCCGCGCAATATGTCAGCATATGGGCGTGCAGCTTGCAGGTGCTCCGTGTCCAGAGCTTTTTTTGCAGGCTTTCTTGTTTTCTTGGTTTTGGGAAGCTTATAAACCAAGCCTCCGGGCCCTCCAGGTAGCCGTCCACGCTCACTGCGCCCGCGGTGTGCGTGGCCAAGACCACGCTGCAGCCGCTGCTGGGGCGAACCGTCCAGTTTGACAGCGAGACGTCCGTAGGGGCCAGGATCTGCTCTCCTATGGCGGCCACCACCTCGTCGGCCCCGCCGTCGTCCGGAAAGCGCACTGCTATCTGCAGCGCCGAGGCCGCCTCCGTGACTCCGAGCTTGCCGGCGAGGAGGCCGTCTACTTGTGCGATGGTGTAGTAGCTGAGCAGCGCGGCTGCGATGCTCGAGGCCGTTGCCGTGTCCTGGTCTGTGATTTGGTTGGTGGTGAACACGTCCTGGTCCGGGCCCGTCCGGTAGGCCAGCAGCGCGCCCGCGATGGCGGCCTGCGCGTGTCCTGCGCGCTTGCCGTGCGGTAGTCTCCCAACAGCGCGTCTACCTGCGCCGAGGTGTAGTAGGCCAGCAGCGGCGCTGGTCGTCTCCGCGTCCTGCGCTGCCCCTGTGCGGTAGTCTCCCAACAGCGCGTCTACCTGCGTCGAGGTGTAGTAGGCCAGCAGGGCTGCTGTTATGGCGGCGTCAGTGCCCGCCGTGGAGTAGCAGTCTGCCGTGATGCTCAGCGTGTCGTCGCCGTTGGCAAGCGCAGCAGAGAGAGGAGCCATGAAATGCAGGTTGCGAACGACGTTACTTCCGCGAACGACGAGCTCCCAAGTCGTGAAGCCCGCCCAGGCCGGCGCGTTAACAACTCCGCCGCTGCCGGAAAGCTGCAGGGCGGCGAGCTCCGCGAGGATTGCGTCGAGGGCGCTCTGGAGCGTGGTCTCGCTGGCCGAGAGCGCGGCGTTCGTGGCGTATGAGGCCAGCAGCGTCGCGTCGGCCTTGGCCCCCTGGAGCGCCGTGATGCTGGCGTCCCGGCTAGCAAGCTGCGCTGCGACGAAGGCCTCGGTGGCGAGACCCAGCAGGGCATTTGCTATCTTGGTGTCTACCTCCAGCGGCGTGTCCAACCCGTCCACCGTGGAGAGCAGGGAGGCCAGCGCGCTTGCGTCCGCCTTGCCGAGGAGGGCGGCGTCCAGGGCTGCCGTGGTGACGGCGTCCAAGAGGGCCGTCGCTATCTTAGAGTCCACCTCCGAGGAAGTGTCCACGGCCGACTGCAGGGCGTAAGCAGTCAGGGCGCTGGCGTCTGCCTTGGAGGCCTGCAGCCCCGAGATGGAGGCGTCTCGGCTCGCGAGCTCGGAGGCCAGCGCCGCGGCGGTGACGGCCCCCAGGAGAGCGTTGGCCACCTTGGTGTCCACC